TATATATATATATATATATATATATATATATATATATATATATATATATATATATATATACACGCACATATATATACATAAAGTCAATTTCACAATCTTTTGTGAGGGCATAGAACAGATTTGAGGTGAACACAAAAGTCCTGTACCGTTTTGCGATATTCGCAATAACTATCGAGATATTAATTAAAGAAAATTCGAAAATGATGACACTCGATATGGTAGATGAACTATAGTGACGTCTGCCGTCGTGTGCTTATACGTTAGATCAAACTGAACAAAAAAGTCCTCTACAAATTTGCAAATGACTACATAGACATTTATAATTAACGAAGATTAATGCATTATCGCGCAAAATATAGCAATTTCCTTTAATTAATAATTAAAAATATACATTACTTGTAAAATGGTAGAGGATTTTTTTACTTAGTATTTTAATTTAATATATAACCACACAACAGCAGCCACTACACTCATCCACTATATCGTGCGTGATTATTCATATAAATCTTTTACAATTGATATCTCGATTATTATTAAGATTTTCGCAGAATGATGTTGTTTTATTCATCTCAATTGTAAAAGAGATATCAATTGTAAAAGATTTATATAAATAATCACGCACGATATAGTGGATGAATGTAGTGGCTGCTGAGTATTTCACACATGTAAGACAAGTTTTAAGTAATGACTATTAATATGGACCTTAGAGTTGAGTACTTTAGCTAAATCACGGTTACAAATATAATGTTATATATATATCATATGATTCAAATAAAAAACTCAAAAATCTAACACTAAATTCAGATTTAAATATCTCACATGAGGAACAAATTTCAAATAACGACTATTAACACAGATCGTACAACATATGTTATAATTATGTGTTACAACATACGTTATCTTATTTCTTTTGGACGACTTTAAGACACCTTTTAGTACTTTGTGCTTATCTGGGAGATAGCATTTATATATATATATATATATATATATATATATATATATATATATATATATATATATATATTATAAATATTTATATATATAT